AGAATCAGTAGATTGACAAGAAACCATACTTTCATTCGTTCCATTCAAGGCCCTAACCAACTTCAAGTGAATATTTGGAACCAACAAGAGACTACATAATATAGGGATACTTTTCACGCTAAGGTGCCTTTTATAGAGACGTTATTACAACACAAGACAGGCAACGGCTAGGAGGTAAATAAATATATAACGTAAGGAAAGACAGAATATCTACAAGCATATGTTTGGTGGTAAAGATATTACCACTATAATTAAGCGAAACCGCCTGCAGTGGGCAGGACATGTACCCGGGCCCCTGAATCGAACATGATAAAAAAGATTCTAACAGCGCAACCTGTGGGAATGAGACGACGGGGTAGACCAAAGCTGAGGTGGATGGATGGGGTAACACAAGATGCGGAGAAGATCGGAGTCGGCAACTGGAAAATTCAAGCAAGGGACAGAACAGAATGGCGTAGAAAGCTTGAGAAGGTCGAGGCCCTCTAAGGGCTGTAGCACCAAGATGATGATGATGATGAAGGAAAGACAGAGGGAACAAAGCTAGATTTATACATTCACATTACACATTCCATCCTAAATTTTTCTTTTAGTCCTTTTTAAATATTCCCAAAAAATTTGGTTAAGCCTAATATTATGACGAGAGATATATAAAATAGAAGATTGACACTGAGGAAGAGGTATTTGTTCTTTTATCAGATTTTCCAATAGATACTTAATGGCAGCATCATTCTATTGGCACCCAAACGTCCAATGATTGATATCGTCAGTGTTACTTACCATTACAATCGCAGAGTTCTGTTTTACTTAAATTAAATCTCTGAAGATAGGCTTTCACAGTAGCATGACTAACAAGGTATCTAACAAACATTGAGTATACTCTTCTATTGGAATGACTTCTTGCAGCAAAAGGCGCATTAGGTAAAACAGGGTGAATTTTTGTGTAAAGGTTATTACTTCTGTTACAAATTTTGTTTTTATTAGAAAAAGATGTCGCATCCACCAAAAGGTTATTAGCGACGGAACAAAATATAAAAAACAAAGTTAAACACCTACAGATTGTACAAAATGTTTATGGATCTAAGATAATTCACTATATTGTTACAGGAACAGTTTTGACCTAGAGCCTGTAGTAGAGCGTTTGGGATCTTGTAGCGCTGTCTTTCTTGGTCATATTTACTAAAAATTGTTAAAAAATGTTCGACTGTTAATCGGACGTTACACTGATCACATATAGGTGGATTTTTCTTTGTGAAAAGGTAGGAGTACGTTAATCTGGTATGTCCTAGGCGTAAACGCGCAACCGCAATTTGTTCTCGTCTATTGAGCGACGATGGAAACCACTGAGACACATTATTTTTGATTTTATTTAGATTGGAATTAGTTTGAGACCACTCATTTTGCCACAAACACCACACTTTATTTTTAAAATAAGCTTCTAAGTCACTGGAAACACACTTGTCTATCGGCTTTGACAAATCACTTAAAATTGCCTCTCGTGCAGTCCTGTCAGCTTCTTCATTTCCTGTTATTCCGACGTGTGAGGGAACCCATAAAAATTGGACGCTTCTTCCATGTTCATAAGAAATAATAATATCTGGAGAATATTTAGATAAAAGAAGCTGTAGCATAGGGAGACGATGAAAAAATCCATCAATGTTCCATTGAAGTATCGAGTTGAATGTTGTTAACAGATTCGGAGTTAGATGATACTGAACAATTGTCTACAGAAGAGTCACTATCTAAGTCAGAAATCTCTTTCTCTAAATGGTTGTGTAGTTTCTTTTGAAGTTTTGTAAACTTGCTTTTTGTAGATCTATCATTTGCATATTGATAGCTGCTTTGTAAAAGATGGAGTAAACCATCCATATCAGTTGTAAATTCTTTGACGACGCTAATAGTGTCGGAGGAGCCTTGGACATTATCAATCAGTAAGGACAATTGGTGGTAATTTAAAACGAATGGTGGGGTATGATTATCAATGAAATTTTCAAGAGTTTCCCGTGTAGATGGGACTTTAGATGAGCGCGGTTTTTTTGGTTTAGAGGGTTTGGGTTTTGCAAACAGATTTTCTGATGAAATTACTGAGTCTGAAGGAGGCGTGACGATCTCACCAATACTGCGTTTTATGGAAGAACTTGTGTTTTCGTAATTGCTATTAGAGTTTTCACTTAGATGCTGTGGCTTTATTACATTTGGAAGTACTGGAGCAAACTCTTGGTAGTGACAGAACTCGAGCTTGAAGTTTTATTTGTAAGATTGGTTGAAATGGTTGTTTCAGAAAATTGTCTTGATGTATCAGTTTTATTAGAATTTTCTGCAGTTGTATCTAATGAAAAAGGAGCTGATAGATTGGAGGATATTGCTTCCGAAGTTTGTGAAAACGGTATTGCTACTGAATGAGGTTGATTGAAAGTGTTGTTATGAGTAGGAGCGTTAGTAATTTCTTTGTCATGGAGATTTGTAGGTGTAGGTGATATGCTTGGATTTGATAATGGATAACTTGATGACTGCTGGGTGTTTGGTACCTTGTGTAGTATACTTGTTGAAGCTGTTTGATTTGGTACTTCATTGTTTGACTCAATATGAGTTGATTCCGTTACTGAACTGTTATTGCATTGGGATGATATGTGTCCTGTATTTTTGCAAATAAAGCAGGTAAGTGTACCTTGTGACAAAAATATGCGGTAAGGTGTTTGATCGAAATTTATTAGAATAGAATCTGGAATTGGTGATGTTATAGGGCTTATATAAACTTGCCTCCGAAAGCTCAATATGTGACTATATTCGGGGAGAGTCGAGCTAATTTTCAGAAATGATATTGGGGAAATAAGCTTTAAACCGATATTCTGTAATTCTTCAACTAATACTTGATGAGGAATTGACGGGCAGACTCCAGACAAGACTAGTCTTTCTGCTGGAGAGACAAGTCTTCGTGCTGTTACAACTTCGCCGAGTACTTCTATAGAGCCATGTTGTGTCATGAAGTTATCTACTACGGTTTTGTTTGCCAAATACATGCAGATTCTATTATGAGATAATCTAGATGAAAAAATAATATTTTTTGGGTTGATGATTGTGCCCAAAGGAATGAGATAATCCTGCAGTTTAGCATTATCGATGCAACTAAATACAATTGCTTGGGTCTTACTCGGAAAAGAGTGTGAAGCGGCTGATGCATAACTGTTTGTGATATTCGAACGTTGATTTACTGGACTGGTTAGATCGGAAGGTGTGTTTACATTCTGTGAAGTCATTTTAAGCTGTTGCGGCGAAGGCCTTACTCCGACTCTGGTAAGTGAAAAACTAACCGCATGCTACTATAAGGTACTTATAACAGCTAACCTCACAAAATGATTGTACGGTAGTATATATTTATTATTGACGTTTTCTTTTCACACTAATAAAATAATAATTACGTATAGATAACTTACGTAGTAGTATCTAGTAGATAAACACTTTAATTTTAAAAAACTATTTAATAAAACCACTTGTTTTTATTAAAAACTAGGAGTACGATATCAGTACAACTTAACCATACCTTGCCAGGGCCGGTCTCCCAAAGCATTTCATTCTTTTTCCCAGTTTTCTTTTAATTCTTGTTTACGCAGCGAGACTAAATCACTTCTATTGAGCCAACTAATTTCTAATCTTTTTGAAGCTGCTTCTTTAGTAAAATAATCTGCTTTGGTGTTACCCGAGATACCAGCATGTCCTTTTACTCAAATGAAAGGGACTGAATTATTTCTTTAAGTACCTTTAGTTGATTTTCTAAAATTTTGACAAAATAATGAACTTGGTAGCTTTTTATTTAGTTGTGAGATGTGACCAGTTAAGTATCTATGGTTATTCCTAATAGTTTAACAGTCTGTTTGTTATCTGTATCATTGTGTAAATTACTTGCAGATATAACCAAATTTTGCGTTTTATCAGAGCAAGTTTTAGCTTGTTTGCTGCAAACCATGTGCTAAATTTAGTAGAAAGTTCCTCATGAGGCATTTTTAAATCGTCATTATTTTTTCCTAATATAACGTAAGTCGTATCATCTGCGAATTATACGGATTTGTAGAAGAATTGCTAAAAAACCAAGAAAATCTAACGAGCAGACTAGGTCATATAGCAATGTCACACAAGAATTTAAGATTGTGGAAGTATACAGACACCATCCTCATATTCAACTAGATCAGGCTCAATAGATCTGATCATCAACAAACTAGAACAAGCAGTAATTAAGGTTTCTATATTAAATCAGAATCAACTCCTACACTTCCATAAAATAACGTTTAGCACATTGTTGGAAATATGTGCTAAGGAATAAATAAAAAACTAGACTGTTGATGTAGTACGAGTTTTGAAAGACCTGTGGGGGTAGCAGACTTGACTATAGTCGATCCCAACAATATGCCTAGATACCCCATACCTAGTCTTTATCAACGTCTGCGAGAAAGAGACTAATATAGCAATTATCAAGGCCCACTAAGGAAACAAGACCAAGACCATAAGACGGAAGGCTGGTTGCTGAAAAATCTGAAGATGGGGATGCACAAATCTTAGTTTACACAATCGACGAGGTTTCCTACAAAGCAATTAAAGTTGCTCATTTCAAGGCGCACTACAGGCTTAAAGAACTGTCGTTTAAAACCCATTTTTTACATATGTGCAAGGTGATAGAGAGTTCTAAAATTCTGGAAGGGAAGATGTACAATAAAGCCACTGACTATAGTGTAACTGATGCGAAAAAAACGGTCTTTTTGTCTATTTTTGTGATTTTAGATAGTTTCCAGTCAGTGACCCATTGTGTGGAATGCCATATTTGATTGCAGAAGAGGAGCAATTTTATCCTGGTTTTCTCTATAGCCTTGGAGTATTTCTGCTGTTATTATATCTGAACATTTTGCCTTGTTTAGTTTGAGTTTATTGATGGTGTATCAATTATATTATTTTCAAGTATAAAAGTTTCTTCTTCTGTTTGATCATTGTTATATAATTCAATGTTGTTTTAGCATACAAAATTCCACATTTGTCAGACATTTGATGTAATAAACGGTTACAAATTACCCAAAAACAAATTTTGTGGCCCTGGAGGGAGGGAGCTACCATCGAATTCAGTTAAATGTTTCAACCGACAGGATGTCGCCATGTTTGATCCTTCTTTAATGTACGGCAGGACAAAAACTGAGCAGTTGCCGCAGTTTATTCCACACTACGTCCTTTATTCTCAGAAGTGTCTGACCTTTAAGGCTTTCTTCAAGCAAGGTGTAGTGGAGTCTCCGAATGAGTTTTACAGGATTAGAAAAGTTAATATTATATACTTTTTAGAAGATGATACTATTACAGTTATTGAGCCCAGAACAAAGGTAAGCAATGTTTGTATTCCTATTATCTTGTATAGTTCAAATATACGTTTCGGAAACCTATCGATTCTTCTCATATTCCGAGGTTTTTAGTTTTAATATTTAAGATTCTTGCAAATATAAAAAATAGCTCGAAATAAATCACCGGCAATAAATAATCTCATAGCTAAACTAAATAAATAGGGTGGCCAAAATACTATAACGTCTTTATAGTTCTAATTTATTGTTCTTAATTTAATTTACTAAAGGTTCAATATTTATAACACTCACAAATTTATCAAAGTCTTTATTACTACTAATTTATTTTACACTTAATAAGTATATAATTTACCTACGTGCGATACAATTGTAAAATACCCGTTCGCGAATTTATCTTCTGACTAACTGCTCTGTTTACAACAAAATTTCTATTTAAATATAAACTGCCGGTGGCCCAGAGCGGACGACGACCTTCTCGAGTAAAAAGGAATCCCATGGATGTTGACCTGAATTGCCTCGAATGAACTGGAACATAGACTGGTTTTTTATAACGGCTCGGAGAACCCTTCGTCTGTCAGGTAGGTATTACCTAGAAAATTCGTAAATGAATGAAAATATATTAGTAAAATATATTTACGGTTTTGGGTCAGAATTTATCGTAACAATACCATACAGACACTACAGCAGCTCATAAAAAAATATGGATACAGAAATACCTTCTCAATGATTGAAAGAAAAAAAGATTCTTTGTATGCTCTAATGACAGAAAAATAACGGTTCTAAATGCAATGTGTAAAACACTATTATGTATATACTTCACTATACTATGCCACTGTATGGCACCATAATATGCAGACGAATGATAGAAAAATACCAGCCTGTTTTTCAGAGGTGGTAAATCGATAATTCATTAGATTGTAATCCTAGAGGCCCTTAAAAATCTCTTAGAACAAACAAATGTTTTAAAGAGTTGAATGTAGAGTACGAATCCAGGGGAAACTGTCTGGAGGTGGTAGGGGAAATAGGAAGTCTAAGGTGGGTAGGGCAAGCAATGCGGATGCAACAAACTGATCTAGGTAGAAAAACGCTCTTTGGTAGACCCATTGATCAGAAAAGAAAAATTAACCAGAACCATTAAAAGTATCAGAGAAATTAGGGAATACCTGTTTGGCGGAAGAAGGCCATCGATAGGAACTACTGGAGAGAAATAATTGAGGACCCTAGGACTCACACAGGCTTGTAAAGTGAGAGTAATGATGAAAAGAGATTAAAGGAAAGAGAAGTATAGGAAGAAAGAAAAAAGCATTGCTGCGTAACATAATAGACTCATACAAACACGGTCAGGATAGACAAGAATTTGCCATATTAATCACCCACCTTAATCGAGAAAGATATCAGTACAGAAGCACTTAGGAGGAAGATATCAATAAGCACAATATTCACACATTATATTTTATGGAAACTTTCTTACATTATTATTAACTACGCATCTTCTTCTTCCTTCTTGTATGTAGCCTTAAAACATGTTTCTTCTTCAGTATTAGCCTAATAAATTGTTTAAATATCGCGCCATCTTTTTTTTGGTCTGCCAATACTTGTTTTGTCCATTTGGTGACTTATCTTGTGCTATTCGTACTATACTATTCTCTGCCATTCTACTAATGTGTTCGTTCCACTTCAGTTTCCGTTTTGTCACTCACCCATTTGTGTCTTCTATATTACATGCCCTTCTTATGTTTTCGCTTCTCTTCTTATCCAACAAACTTTTCCCTGATATTTGTCGGAGTATTTTCATCTCTGTTGTTTCTATAGAAAATGTCACACCGAGAGTGCAGTACGGCTAATATAGGAATGCACAATTGCCGGATTTCACGCCTTGTGCTTGGCGATACAAACAGGTCCAAGTGGTAGTCACAGAACCGTACCCAGATCTCTACGCCGGGCTCTGTTATTTATTATAAAATAATATATTGATAAAATAATTGCCTTCAAGTAGCCAAATAAGAGGCATGAATTTGAATAAAAAGACCTTAAGTTTTTAGCGAGAATTTTATTATAAAACTGTATACTTTATTAAACTAACAAATGTATTTTAAATTACATTTCTTGATAGCTATAAATATACCGGGTGGAACCTCCGGTAACTCGATTTCCGTGCACCCAGCCCAATATCCAAGAAAAACTTTTTCTTTTGTAAATATGTGAAAAATTATCAGGAACGGGAATATCGAAAAAGCTTTGCACATTTTTTAATCCCGGCGATGTTATTAAAAAAACAAGTTGCGCACTTGAATCACTGCGAAATTTTAACACCTACTATGAAATTTTTTTTGTGGAAATCTGAAGTGCAGTTTTTGTCCTTGTTAAAACATAATGCAGTCTCGCATTTTTTACACACAACATAAGTTTACCTAGTTCCTTGGCATAGCAACCTGGTAGTTTTCAGCGAAACCTTGTGTTATTCCATATGGGATAATGGTTTTCCTTGCCCACACTTGACCAGATGAGCAGGTATAAGGTTTATAGTGTAAGTTATTTAACATTATATTATATTTATACTTTATTAAACTAACAAATATATTTTAAATTACATTTCTTGATAGCTATAAATATACAGGGTGGAACCTCCGGGAACTCGATTTCCGTGCACCCAGCCCAATATCCGAAAAGCCCATACTCTGATTGGACTGGTAAATGCATTTTATTGGTTATACAGTGTAAAATAATCGAGGTTACTCACAGATATTCAATTAATTATACTAAAGTCGTCCTCTACATCCGAGATGTCGGATTCGCTTTCGCTACTCTCCCCTGTGTTCGCGTGTATTATCAATTGGTCTACGTCATCTTGCAGGTTGTCCGCAGTCCACATCTCAGTTTCCGTTTTCTCAACAACATGAGTGACATAATTGCGCCAATTTTGCTCTGTGACGCGTGCGAAACCGTCGTCGATCAACTGGCGTACCTCGTCGTTTTTAAAAGTGGTATTATGGGTACCTACATATCGCTTAACTTGGTTCCACACCATTTCTATAGGATTCAATTCGCAGTGATATGGAGGAAGCCTTAAAATATAAACATTATGTTGTGAAGCATACTCATCAAGATGATACTTATCGTATTGATCTTTAAAAGCACGCGCTGCTTCTAATAGCTCGGATTTCAAATAACACTCCTCGAAAAAAATGTCTTTTTCCACTAGCCATTCCTTGATTGCAGCTTTATTCCAGGAATTGTTAGGGAATCTCTCTTTACGGGAGTGGTACGATGCATTGTCCATTACAATGACATTCCTGCGACCATTATTTGGTAAATTTGATATTAATGTCTCCTTAAACCACGACTCAAAATATGCGGCATCCATTTCATCGTGATAGTCGCCATCATTTTTCTTTGCCAGAAAAACACGCTGTGTGCCAGGAAGGAAACCTCCTGAAAAACCTGCATGCAATAAAACATATCGTGGACCTCGTTTAGTAGGTGCTTTTAAGCCAGTACTTAAACCTTTGAGAAAAGCATCACGACTGTTTTGTATCGTAGTATCGCACCATTCGTAATTTATAGATTGGCCAACATTAACCCACGATTCGTCCAAATATATGATATTGCAATGGTCTTTTCGCAAACGTCGTATAGTTCTCAAATAATTATGGCGTCAATGAATAATATCCTCTCGCTCCACCATGATGCTTCTTCGGCCACGTTTCTTATAAACAAATCCAATATCTTTCAGAAGTCTGTATAAAGTAGAAAGAGACAACGGCTGTATATTCTCATTACCTTGTATGAAGTTATGTATATGCTTTAAGAATGGCGGCATATTATAGTAGTCGTCTCGTTTTCGATGTCTCAGGTCTTATCTCCGCCGTGTACGTTAATATAGGTCTAAATGCTGCATTACAGATTCTTGTTTTTGTGTCATGTCTTAGGTGTTTGTTCTTCTAGATTGTGTCATTAAGAGATCCCGCCGCTTTACTTGCTTTTAAGCTTTGTTGTCGTACTTCTTCAACATCTCCGTAACTAGTTATATCTATTCCCAGATATCTAAACCTTGCTTCCTGCTTTATTATTTTCCATCAATTTCAATTTTACATCGTAGTGGGTATTTAGATGTTGTCATACATTTGGTTTTTTCTGCTGATATTATCATATTGTATTTCTTAGCTGTTGTATTGAAGATATGTGTTAATCTTTGGAGCTCGTCTTCTGTCTTGGCGATTAATGCGGCGTCGTCTGCATAACATAATATTTGGATTTATTTGTTCCCCATTCTGTAACCATGACCTTTACGTACTGCTTGTATTATTTCGTCCATTATTATATTAAAGAGAAGTGGGCTTAACGAGTCACCTGTCTGACTCCGCTTTGTACTGGTATACACTGTGTTAGTTTTCCATTTATCTTGCCTGTATTCGATTATGAAGTAGATGTTTTCGATGGTTTGTATAATATTGATTGGTATGTTTCTTTTATACAGTAGGTGTAAGACGTCTTCGACTTGGATGCAACCGAAAGCCTTTGTCAGGTCTATAAAACATAGATATGCTAGTTTATTGTACTCGATGGCTTTTTCTATGATTTGTCTTAGTACAAATACGGCGTCTACGCAGGATCTTCCGAAACTGAATCCTTGTTGTTCGTCTGATAAAGTTGTTAGTTTATTGATTTTGTTGGTTAGGACTTTCGTGGTAAGCTTAAGTGCAGTTTTTAGTAGATTTATACCTCTATAATTGTTGCGGTCTTCTGTATCTCCTTTCTTGAACATTGGTATCATTATGCTGTTTCTCCATGCGTCTGGTATTTTACAGTGCAATATTAGTTTTTGTATAAGTTTTGTCATCTCTAGTTGGTTATTCCCTCTGGTCCTGGTGACTTTCTATTTTTGAGTAAATTTATGGCTATCTCTGCTTCCTGAAAACTGATTTCTATTTCGTATCTTAATTCCAGAGCTGGGTAGTATCCGGATACTTCTGTATCCGGATACAATATCCGGATGCTTTTTATGTATCCGAAAGCTATATCCGGAGCCAAATTCAATTCGATTTAAATTTGGAATGGGAAGATCCAATTATAGCTGCAGTTCTTCTTCCTAAATTTAAGCTTAAGTGGTACAATGTCATAAAAAATCTCAAAAAAACTATAAAAGTAATAAAAAAATGCATTATAACTGTCACCAAAACAAAAATGAAATTGGAAAGTTGCAATGAATCAGATGAAAGTGGAGATCAAAATTTGGATGACTTTTTTGATTTCAGCAATTGTCGAGACCAGCAAGTGGACAACAGCTGTACTATTACTTATACACAGAATGAAAAGGGTTCCAGCATCAATAATAAAACTTAAAAAGTACAGTTAAATGGCTTTTCTCTTTTGCAATTATGATCGATGCGCCTAAAAGAAAAGCTTTAAGCAATGAACATTTTGAGGTATTGGTACTTCCAAAGGCAAATTCAAAGGCACTTTACTCTTGACTTCGTCAGCAATGGGAATACTTTCTGTATTAGTACGTTTTTATTTTAATTTAATGTTTCCTTATCCTATTCCTATTATTCATAAGCAATAAACAATTTTTGAGTAGTTTCTGATTTCTTTCTTCATCATTTAATGTATTTTAATTATTATATATTACATTTAAAAATACATGCACATCACATAGTTCTATACTAATAATTTATATCCTTCATAAAAAAAGTATCCTAGGAAGTATCCGAAAAAAATATCCGGATACTTGTATCCGAGTACATTTTTAAATGAAAGTATTCGTACTTTTTTTAAAAGTATCCGGATACATTTTAAGTATCCGTATCCGGTATCCGGATACTTTTTTTCAGTATTCGACCCAACTATGCTAAATTCAGATACGTTATTGTGTTGATTATTTTCCATTGTTTTAAACAGTTCCGTAGGTACTTTTCCCATTCGTTTCATCATCACGTAGCGCTACAACCCTGGGTGGGTCTTGGCTGACTGTACAACTTTTTTCCAATTTGTTCGGTCTTCCATCAACCTAGGGTCAAATGGAATGTTCATTTTCCGGAGATCTGCTTGGATGTTATCTCTCCATCGCATTCTGGGACGTCCGAGTGGTCTTTTGCCTGTGGGAATCTCCTCCCATACCAGTTTTACAAGTCTCTCGTTATGCAGTCTGTGCACGTGGCCTGCCCATCTTAGTCGCTGTGATTTAATTTCTTGGACAATATCGGCGTCATTGTAGAGTGCTTTTAATTCGATATTGGTTCTGATCTTATACTGGTTTGTGGTGATGTCATGGTGAGGTCCGAAAATTTTTAAAAGTATTTTTCGTTCAAAGCGTCTGAGCTTTTCTTCGTTTGGTTTGGTCATGGTCCACGTTTCGCATCCATTTGTTAGTATTGGTCTAATGATGGATTTATAGATTTTGATTTTTGAACTTCTTGTAAGATTTTTTGATTTTATGCGCTTATCCAGTGCGAAGAGTCTTTCTTCCTGTCTTTTATTTCTTCAGTAACATCGTTGTCAGCTGTAATTACGGCCCCAGATACTTAAAACGTTGTGCTCTTTCGAAATTGAAGGGGTTGACCGTCACATTTTGTCCTATTCTGTCTCTTCATGTCGTTCTATTTATACACATATATTTTATCTTCTGTTCATTAATATTCAGCCATACTTCACTTTTGCTCCTTCCACTTTGTACCTTTCCCATTCATTTGCTGGTATAATATTGTATTTCTTTAATTCTGCCATTTATTTTTGTTGGTTTCTTATGAATCTCCATATTTGTTTTTGTGTACCGTAGAAGTCGCTCGAAATACACGAAACAAGACAGAATTAATGTTGATAATCTGCGCATTGAAACCGTTGCGAGAGAGTATAGGAGACAAATGGACGAGGAAATGGAGAGCCTGGAGGTGGGGGAAAATGTAGAGGAACTGTGGACAAAATGTAAAAACATAATAACTGAGAAAGCAACAAAAATATTGGGGAAAACCAAACCAGTTAAAGAAAACGAAAGGTTTGACAAGGAGTGCCAAGAAGCGACAGATAACAAAAACAGGGCATACCTAAAGACAAATCAAGCTGGATGCACAAGAAGAGCAAAGGAAGAATACCGGACCCAAAGAAGAGAAGAAAAACGATTACATAGAAGAAAAAAAAGACAATTTGAGCAAAAGCAGTTGGAAAGCACAGAATGGCTAAGAAATCAAAATGAAACTCGAAAGTTCTACAGAAATCTAAACAAAATGCGCAAAGAGTTCAAACCAAGAATAAGGAGCTGTAAGGATGTAGAAGGAAACATCCTAATTGATACGGCCTCAATCCTAAACAGATGGGTTGAATTTTTCGATGCAAAATTTAATGGCCATCATATCGAAGAAGCAGATAACACCCTAGCAAATCGAAATGACTGGAAACCAAAACATTGTGTGTTAAAGGTATCTTATTGCTATGTCCATCTATGTTTATACGTTCATGTGTTGAACAATATCTCCTAGAACTGGAAACAGCGGCGAAACAGGTCGGTCTAGTCATCAACGAAGACAAAACCAAGTACATGTTGGTTACAAAGGATCCGATAGCAAATGACGAACGAGAAACAGTCTTTGGAAGTCATACCTTTGGACGTGTTGACAACTTCACATACCTTGGGTCGCTATTGACTGCTACCAATAAAACAAGCGAAGAAATCAAAAGACGAATAAATCTTACAAATAGGGCATACTATGGACTCCAAAAGCATTTCCACTCAAGAAACATTCAAAGAAGAACTAAAATTATTATATACAAAACATTGCTGAGGCCGGTCCTCACATATGGAGCAGAAACATGGACTCTAACGCAGAAAGATGAAAGACTTTTGGGAATATTTGAGCGTAAAATACTCCGCAAAATATTTGGAGCTGTAAACGACCAAGGGCAGTGGCGCAGAAGATATAATTTTGAATTGTATCAGCTCTTTGATGAGCCAGATGTCATAACGTTCATTAAAACACAGCGACTTAGATGGGCTGGACACATAATACGAATGCCAGAAAATACGATTGCTAAAAAGCTAACCACAGGAACACCTGTAGGAAAAAGAAGCAAAGGCCGACCGCGAATTAGGTGGTTAGATGGAGTTGAAACCGACTTACGAATATTAAAAATCAGAAGATGGCAACATGTTGCCAAAAACCGAACAGAATGGCGACGAATCTTAGAGCAGGCCAAGATCCACAGAGGATTGTCGAGCCAAAGATGATGGAGATGATGAGAAGTCTCTTTCTATCCTTTTTGTAAACTGTTCCCAATGTTAATTTTTTGTTCTTCTTACCAACTGCTTTGTTTAATTTCGTATTCTTCTATAGGTGTCTCGGGATTCTGGAGTATTTGATGTTTTGTACTTCGTGTAGGCCTCTCGTTTTTTTTACATTTTCTTGTATTTCCTTTCTGAACCTTGGTGTATTGTTGTTATTTCTTTTGTTTAGTATGACCTTGCGTTATCCTAGAGCTTCTGTTGCTGCTTCTTCAATGTTGTTTTTAATTTTCTCCCAGCTCGCGTTTATATCTTCGATATCGTCTATTTGTTTCAGCTGTATATTCTGTGCTAGCCTTAGTTACACATTAACAAAAATAGTTCAAGTTACTCGTTAATGACACTATTTTAAGCATAGTTCAATATAACATAATATTGCTTGCCATTTGGAATAGTACGGTTTTTATTTTAATTTATTTTAGTTTTATTTTACAGTTATTTTAACAATAACATTAAAAACAAAATGAATTAATTTATATTTTTATTACTTGATACTACAAATTAATATCTTAGACTAACTCTCTACCAATTAATTTAACATTTATAATATCCTTCTGCTTAGCTCCCAGATTTAGGTGAAAATTTTTTGATGTTGCACCTGCGACTCGATTGTCGATTGCCGTTGTAGTAGCGTAGCGAGCAGATTGACGAAATAGTATCCCAAAAATATCTAATCTGTACATTTATAAAACAATATTTTTGTTTAAGAATAGCGGAATCGATCAAGGCAGATTGATTCGAAGAGGAAAAATTCCGAAAAACGAAAAAGGTGTTTTTTGGCATTGGAAAGATTTAAATGTGGGCAAAGATTTAGTTTTTAATGGAATAGTTTACCACACCGTAGATTGTGACAAATTCACAAGGGTGAGTAAAACATGAATGTTTTCAAGATTTAATATAATGATCAAAACATCTCAATATAACCATTTTTTTTGCTTGTAGCTTTAATTTCGTATTCTTTTTTAATACAGGAATATATGGCAAGTCAAGGTCTAATTATGCAAGATGCAGAAGAAATGCCTGTAGATCCCTACACTTTTAACAGGGAATTGACAGTACATAGTAATTTTTCTAAAAGTAAATCTGTTGATGACAAAATGAGAAGATTTTTGGAGTATGATGGAAAGGTTTTGAAGTAAGAAAATTTATTATATATGTATATTTTATTGGTTACTATTAGTACGAATAAGGCACATTATGAAGTGTCCTTAATAGAATAGAAGTGTCCCTAACTTACATATGGATAAAACCATTTTTCTTTGTTTCTATCCATCTATAATTAATGGTCCTATTAGAGAATAATTCTGGGTACTTTCCATTATATTAAGATCTCTGTACTTGGCGATTTTCATGTATGTAACACGCAGGTTATTGTCGTGTATTAATATTATATACAGATTGAACGAATTTAAAACGGATCATACAATTTAATATATGTCTGTTTGAACTGCATTTGAAATAGTGGACCAATATAAAACTTGGACAAAAATAAATCCATACCTGGGTATAGACATTGTATAAAATATCGTTCAACTATCTGTCTCGCAACAATGTTGTTTGCGTAAAGGAAGCGATAATAGTTCAGGAAATGAAGCTCGAAAAAAGTTAAAACTTCGCAATTTTTTCGTCCTGCATGGATTGAGTTGAAATTTTAACAGAAGGTAGGTGATAGCCCAAGGATCAAAATCTATATCGAACCGAAGTGCGCTGAAGGGTTTTAGGGGTGAAAACTACCCCTAATTGTCAAAAATTATAAAATAACATATTAAACCTGAATATGGGTAAGATTTGGTTTGAATTAGTTAAATAATGATTATTTTGTACTTTTGAATAGAGTTCCATCATATTTCAACCCTTAAAAAGCAACCCTTGTTAGAGATTAATGTAAAAAAATTACTAATTCTAAAAAAATGATTTCGCCTTGGATCGATTTGGATAAAAATTTGGATTTAAGCTCAATTCACCCACTGCTTTATAGTTTATGTCATGTCGACGAACCCTGATTGTTCTTAGGGGTGAAAACTACCCCTAATTTTCAAAAATTGTAAAATAACATTACAAATCTTAAGATGAGTGAAATTTGGTTTGGATTAGTTAAATAGTGATTTTTTTATACTTTAAAATACAATTTCATACATTTTCAACCCTTAAAAATCAATTGTTATGAGTGCTATAGGTGAAAACAATTTTTTGCCAAAATTTTGCAACTTTTCAACTTTTGAAAATCACCCTTTACAACATTGCAGTTTTTATAAACTAATTTAATAGATATAAATTGAAAAAAGTAGAATTAAATACAAAAAAATTTATCAACATAAAAAGGCACCATATATTCTTATACATTTACATAAATAGTTGAAAATATTTACATTTATAGGTAAAACAATTATAATATTAATTTTATTCGTCATCAATTACATCTTCATCGTGATCTATGTCATCCTCATCTTCTTCAATTATTGGTGGACTATTATTGCACCCTTCACCTGAGCACCCAGAACAAGTAGAGTTACAGTATAAACCAACTTTTCTGCACCCACATGAAACGCCGCATCCTTTTTTGCATTGGCAAAAAATAATTTTCAAAAGTTCATCGGGTGCAGGTTGTTTGTTCATGCGTACGGGTAATAACAAACCATCTTTGGAATACCATCCCCAATCTGTTGCTCTGATATTTTCATTGCCAAGCCATAGACATATGAGCAGATGTTTTATTCTGTTGTATGGGATTTCAAAATAAGAACGCTTAAAATTTCGAATGTATAACGCCCCACTACCTAATATACCGGTTTTGTAGATTATTATGCTCCGAAATGTACTGTACTATACTAATGGAATTTTCCGGAAAAAAAATTAATTGGTTTTTTTAACGTATTTCCTTCATTTTTAACGATAGAGTGTTTCTTCAAAAACGATTTTGTAGAGGTTTTTAAGAGCTACAAGGATCTGTGAATTAAATCTTTTTGGAACCCTTGGTTTTTAAATGGGTGAGTTTAAAGGCTCGAAAAAGATGGTGCTTGATCGTAAATCGATGCTTTAAACGGCTATATCTCGCCAAATATTCATTGTACAACAAATCTAAATAAAGGAAAATTTTAGTCATTAAAAAAGCTACAATTTAGTACATTTTTATTTTTTTCATATATTCAGTATTTTCGGGGATATTTAAAAAAAGAAGGGTAAAAAATATGAAATTGTAAATCGTTTCTCGCTTTATGCTGTACTTTTTCTAAAACTAAGCATTTTAAATGGGTCAAACTTCTTGGACGTATTAACAATACATGTACAAAGAGAATTGCAGAAGGGTGAAGATCGATTTTAATTATGGGGTGGTTAGGGGGTTGTTTTCATCGATTTTTTCGTAAAAAAATGAGGTATTGACCTTATTTTCATCATAACTCACTCAATTTTTGAGCTAGAGTCTTTTTTTATGATAGGTCTATTTATGCTCTTTAAAAAAGGTTCTGTGAGTTTTCTTCCAAAAATGCATCATTTTCCCGATATTTGACTTTGAATCTTTCAAATTTGGCATTTGAAGAAAACCGCTGAACATTGATAGGCCGTATTTCGGTTCCTGTTATATCGCAAAAACATTTTAAAAAATGAATTGTATTTGTCTTTTTAAAAGCTACAAATTTGTTCTCTACAATTTTTTTGATAAAATGCACCATTTTCGAGTTATTCGCGAAAAATCGATTAAAAACGTCGATTTTTTCGTCTAAAAGTTGTTACTTTCAATCGCGAATAACTTGAAAAATATCAGTTTTACAAAAAAAATGTATAAAACATTTTTTGTTTAGAATCACTTTTTTAATCGAAACCTGTAGTTAAAACGTAAAAAAAATTTCACCCCCGAGATGGGGTGGCAACCACCCCCAAGGCTTTGGCGCACTTTGGTTCGATATAGATTTTGATCCTTGGCTATTACCTACCTTCTGTTAAAATTTCAAGTCAATCCACGCAGGACGAAAAAATTGCGAGGTGAAATGCTTCATTTCCTGGACTATAAGTGGTTTGACAGCATAATAAAATCGTAGATTTATGTGTAGCTTTCAATTTTTATGATTTCAGAATCCAGCAGCCCGCTGAAGTATTGGATTTTTATAATATAATTATTTGACAACCTTTTGTTGGTCAACCACCTACAGCAGAATTGAGCCGAAATACATAATATTTCGTATGTTCCGAATTTATTTCGTTCAATCTGTATATATATATATATATATATATATATATATATATATATATATATATATATATATACTTATATATACCCTGATTTAGCGTGCTAATAAACGCATTCATATTAAGTTTATTAATTATGGTTTTTGTTTTAGATTTAAAGCAGTATGGGACGACAGGGAAAATGAATATGGTGACTTGATGAAATATGAAATTCTGTACTTTTTATCAGACGATACTGTGGTGGTAAAAGAAATACACGAAAAAAACGATGGCCGAGATCCGTATCCACTATTATTACGAAAAATGAAGTTGCCCAAGGTATCAAATTAGCTATATTTTTCGTCAACATATAAGAAATTTACACCTGTTGCTAATATCTCAACTATCTTTGCGACGGGTGGCAATACTAAACCGACCGCTTGGTACGTCTTGGAACAGTTTACTAGGACCTGACTTTATAATATTTACAGAACTGAACAAAAATTCTTCGTAGTGGATCATTAACGTCTCGATGTTATACTTGTTGTACATTTCATTACAACAAAGAAATCTTAATTACTATTTAACTGGGAATAAGCCACAATTAAAGATAAAAATAGTTTATTGACGTTTCAATTTCCACTTCGGAAATCGTTCTCAAAATACAAAAGTATATTTATTAAAAACTTTGTTTGTATTTTGAGAACGATTTCCGAAGTGGAAATTGAAACGTCAATAAACGTATTTTTATCTTTAATTGTGGCTTATTCCCAGTTAAATAGTAATTAATTTAAAATGCCACAAGAAAATAGCTTCAGAACAATATAAAGAAACCTTGTTCCTCATGAAACATATATTTCGTTTATTTTAAAAATTTTCCTTTTACAGAGATATACAGACACACCATCTACCTATCCAGCCATCTATCTGGAACTCTCAGACGCAGAAATAACCGAGTACTACCAACCCAAAGATTTCCAAGTCGGAGAAACCATATTCGTCCTTGGACGTGACATGTTACTGTACGATTGTGACAATTTTACCAGGAACTATTTTAAAAAAGCATTAGGCATCGAACAAAGACCCGCTATAGATATAAGCGAGCCGAACAATAAGAAGCCGGTGAGGCAGATCCCTCCACATGACGGACTTGGATCGTTAGAAGATTCTTTACAAAATACTCTTTCTTTTCTGCCCAAAGCGCCGAAGAAAGATGTCATGAGGCAGTTGGTGAATGCTAATAAATATTTGAGGTACGAAATAAATTATTATTTATTATCTTTATTATGAACTAGGTGCAGTGGCGCACCCGGGGGGGTTGGGGTTAAAGAGCAGAGGACGTCCACCAACTAGATGGACTGACGACCTGAAGCGTGTTAGCAATAACTGGATGCAAGCCGCACGAGACAGAGAGAGAGATGGAAAGAGCTGAGGGAGGCCTATGTTCAGCAGTACTTACTTTACTTTATCGTGTCCGGACATGTCATTCATAAAATTTCGGCCCAGTATCGGGCTACGTCGGTTCCATCTTTGTTGGCGAGCCACAAATCTTCAAGGGTACATCGATGAGGACAGTTTCTGCATGTAAGAAGATGTTCCATATTCTGTGTTTCTCCACAGTCACAGTTCACATCATCTTGGTCTATTTTTCCCCATTTTGCCATGTTTGATTTTACTGTAGCAACCCCGTTCTTATCCTATTCAAGGTTTTCCACGTTTTAAAGTCTAGGGTCTGGCCGGTCCATTGAACCTGGGGAAGTGGAAAATACTCAGGCGGTTCATCCTGCACTGTTCCAAGGAAGCTTTTCCTAGATTTTAGTCGCTTTCGTGGTGTTCGAGCTTTGTATAGGGCATGCCGATCGTCCGCGATCTGTTTAATTTTCTCTATGTGTTCTGCAGCGCCTCTGCGTGTTGAGGGTTCTGCAAAACCCGCTGCTCTATATAGATTTGAAAGTGGCGTTGGTTTCATGCACCCCGTTACTATCCTGCATGTCTCATTTAGCGCAGTATCAACTTGTTTGGTGTGGGCAGATCTGCTCCAAACGGGGCACGCATATTCAGCAGTTGAGAAACACAGTGCCTGTGCCGTTGTTCTTAAAACGCCAGGACGTGCGCCCCATTTACTTCCCGTTAGCTTTCTGAGTATGCTGTTCCTAGTTGTTACTTTCCCTCTTGTTTTTATGCAATGTTGTCTGTAGGTGAGGGACCGGTCCAGAGTTACTCCAAGATATATAGGTTGGTTTGTGTGTTCTAATGCATTACCATTCCACACAATTTGGAGTTTTCGCTTGGCTTCCTTTGTGCGAAGGTGGAAAGCGCAGACTTGGGTTTTAGAGGGATTGGGTCTCAGAGAATTCTGCAGGTAGTACGCTGTCATTGTTTTTAAGGCAGTTTCGAGTTTCTCCTCCACTTCTTCAAAACTATTTCCTTGAGCACATATTGCAAGATCGTCAGCATAGAGGAAGTGCTTGGTTTCGGTCGGAGTAGGTTGGTCGTTTGTGTATATATTGAAGAGCATTGGTGCTAAAACACTTCCCTGTGGGAGGCCGTTTTTTTGAACTCTCCACCTACTTACTTTACCCTCCAGCATAACGAAAAAACGTCTATTTTGCAGTAAGGAATATACGACCTTTCCAGATGGTGGTCATGAGAGTGTCGTAAATTTCGGAGCAATGTTTTGTGCCTTGCTGTGTCATAGGCTGCTGTCAGATCTACAAAAGCAGCCCCTGTTATAAGTTTTTCTTCAAAGCCCTCTTCAATGTGTTCTGTTAATGCGAGGACTTGACCGGTGCAAGATTTGCCAGGTCTGAATCCTCCTTGTTGTGGGATGAGGTGCTTGTCGACATTTTTTTCTATTCTGGCGAGTATGAGTCTCTCGTATAGTTTAAAAAAGTGACACAATAGCGAAATAGGTCTGTAGCTACTGGGTCTTCTGGATCCTTTCCTGGTTTTAACAAGGCTATTACTTTAGATTTCCTCCATGATTTTGGAATTTTGCAGGTTTTGCAGCACGTGTTATAAAATTGCAAGATCCAGTTTTTTGCTCCTTGGCCTAAATGCTTTATTTGTTCACTGCATATATCATCCACACCTGCAGCTTTCCCGTTTTTTAACCTGTTCAGACCGTCGTGGAGTTCTTTTAGTGTAAAAGGAGTTCCTAGGTGGTTTGTCTCCGAATCCAATCTTCTCCTAGTGTTTGGGTCCTTATATCGGTTAGTAGTTCTTCCATTCGTAAGGAGTTGAGTAGCGACTTGGTTTGCTGTAACCTTGCAAGGTGGTTTATGTTCTTTTGGATCACCGCTGAGTTTTTTTACAAGGTTCCATGCTATTTTGCTACTATGTGTCATGTCCATTTTTTCCAGGGTCTCAATCCACTTTTCCTGTCTGGCTTGACTTAGCTGTTGGAGTAGTACTGCTCCGCAGTCAACCGTTTCTTGGCTAAAAGGGTCAGTGGAATAGAGGGTTTCGTATGTTCTCATTAGTTCTTTGGACTCGCTGGACATCCCGGGAACATATTGTTGTCTACATCCTCTAGGGATAGTTTTTCTAGACACATTTTTGAGTACCTCTACGAATTTTTCGTAGTTCTCTACTTTTGGTTCAAGGCGTAGTAGTTCAAAATCTAGCATGTCTGCATACTTTTGCCAGTTTGCCTTTTTGAAGTTAAATCTCCTTCTGAATGGAATAGCTTGTGGTCTGACAATTGGAAAGATATTTATACCAATTGGTCTATGCTGAGTTTTTGGTATGGGGCCATATACTACTTTGGTACATCGGTCTTCGAGGTTGTTGCTTGAAAAACAGATATCCGGGTTATATCCTCTTTTCCAAACTTTGCTATGAAAAGATGGTGGAAGTTTAGGATCATGGATTAACGTGAGGCCACTCGTTTCGGCCCATGCTTCTACTGCGTCTCCATTTGCGTCCGAATCTGCATAGCCCCAGAGTAAACTGTGACTGTTAAAGTCTCCCAGTACAAGCTGATTGGCTTGTAATTGAAAATATAAAAGGCTGGTTTGGGGGCTTGTATATGTTCAGCAGTGGACGCATACAGGTTGATGATGACCGAATGAAAAAGAATACAAAAATGCTATAATAATTATTATTCGGCAATAATTATTCGAAAGCTGGTATATTCTATACGTCATAATACATATAGGCCAATATCACCGGAAGAATAAGTAAAGGCCAAAGAAGAATATTCTGGCTTCTAAATCTTCGAGAAAGGACAAAAGATAGTTGTTGATCTATTTCGAAGTGCTCAAACAAATCATTTTTGTTGCCCAAATGAGAATTATGTTCTAAATATAATAGAAATTTGTGAAGCAGGGCAAAAAGATGTAACACTAACATGATTTTTTTAATCTTTATGAATAATTATGATTTATCTAGCTCCAGCCATAAAGATTTAGAATAAATAATCATATACCGTCTCAAACAATAACTTAGAATATACTGTAGATGTTTAATATAAACCTAATTGAATATTGGGTACAATTTTCTAGAATATAGGAAATATATTATAATTCTTCATATTATTTCTAAATTTCTCCTAATAATTATGCAACCAATATTACACTGCAATTACTATTATTATGCAATTACCAGATCCAGATTTCCAGGTTTTTATAGCGTTCTCCGCCTTCCGGTTCCCAGTTTCCAGCTACATCGGTCATTCCATTCGCCAGGGTGAAGGTTTCTTTCCGACATTGCCTTCTGAATGCCGCCCAGCCAGGATTGTTTTGGCCTTTCTCTCTTTCCCTTGGCGTCCATTTTAAAATTTGGTTTGGCAGCCTGTCGTCGTCCATTCTTTTCACATGACCATACCAGTGTCCAACACCATAAGTTAATGCAGATTCTCAAGAAAGTTAATATAGACCAAAAAGACATAAGATGCATTGAAAACTTGTACTGGCATCAAACGGCACAGCTAAAAATAGACAATTCTATATCCAAGCCCATACATATAAGAAGAGGCGTTCGACAGGGATGTGTGCTTTCCCCTCTTTTATTTAACATTTATTCGGAAGCCATATTTCAAGAGTCTTTGGAGGATGCAGAGATGGGAATCAAGGTGAATGGAGTATTGATCAACAACATACGATATGCTGATGATGGTGTCTTAATTTGTGACAACATAGTCGATCTTCAACAACTTGTCACTATAATCGGAGAATACAGTGAGCGAATGGGACTAGAGATTAATACCAAAAAGACCAAATTCATGATCATCTCCAGAAACTTGGATGCACTTGAAAACTCCACCATAACACTGAATAGTAAATCCATAGAAAGAGTGAGTAAATTTAAATACCTGGGATCGTGGCTTTTTGAAGACTGGGCATCGGACAGGGAAGTAAAATGTCGCATTGAGCAAGCTCGACAAGCTTTCGTAAAATTCAAGAAGGTACTGACTTGTTCTGAGTTCGATCTTCAACTGAGACTAAGGTTTACTAAGTGCTACGTATGGTCAGTGCTGCTATATGGCGTAGAGGGCTGGACACTCAAAACGAGGGATATAAACAGATTGGAAGCTTTCGAAATGTGGCTTTATCGCCGTATCCTAAAAATACCATGGACAGCGAAAATCACAAATATAGATGTCCTTAAAAGAATAAACCAAGAACGCCAACTTTTCGAAACCATCAAGAAAAGGAAAACGGCGTATCTAGGTCACATCATGCGAAATGAAAAATACCAGTTCCTCCAACTTATAATCGAGGGTAAAATTGAAGGCAAGAGAGGAATGGGACGCAAGAAAATGTCCTGGCTCCGAAACATAAGGCAATGGACAGGGATTAACGACATACAATCTCTGATACATATTGCAAGAAATAGAGAATTAATGGAAAATGTGATCGCTAACATCCATTAGTGGATTTGCATCTGAAGAAGAAGAATACCAGATCAGTTGTCTCCTTTGAATTTCGTCAATGATGGTTGACTTGACTTCCATTATATTTCTGATATGGTCATTTTGTATTCTATCAAGCCTTGATTTTCTAGCTGATCTTCTCCAGAAGTCCATTTCCAATGCAAGTAGGCGTCGCTCAAGGGATTTAGTAAGTTGCCATGTGTCGCATCCATAGAGCACTATACTTTTAAAGATGGAGTTAAAGAGGAGATGCTTTCTTTAATTTGATAGTTCTTTTGACCATAGCATCGGTTTAGGCATCCTATCACCCTTTTTCCTTTCGCGATTCTTTGCTCTATCTCTTTTTCGGTGCGCCCACTCTTGTTGATTGTTGTTCCCAAATATATATATATTCCTCACAGTTCTTGATTATTTCTTGATTACTCATATTATAATACTTCATTGCAATTAACTATTTCTGTTGCATTGCCAATGCAATACAATAGTGTTAAATGTAGATACTAACCCTATCTTGTGTAAAGAGAGAACTCAAAACAAATTAACTGGTCAGTTGGTTGTTAAAACCAGTGCCAACAAAACGACACACACACGCTGTTGTTCCTAAGCAGTGAATAGTAGGTACTTAATTCACCATTTAAACTGTTATACAGCACATAATAGTACAATTGTTTTAATTATATTTCGATCCTATTTATACTTTTCACGGTAGGTATGAATTGGTGATGGATACAGTACACCCTGAGGATTCGATTCGGAAGTTTGTGATGTCTTATTCTTTGGCGGATGGCACGTGTAAAATTTTAGAACCTCCAATTAGAAATTCTGGCATTTTGGGTGGAAAATATCTCTCAGCGACGTTGTTGAAAAAACCAGGTAAGATAAAAGTCTTTTATATGAAAGAGTTTGTAAGAGAACTTTAATTTGGCGTTTGCATCCACAAATATGTTTGTTTTCACGTCAATGCACAGTAGGCATGGCCTATCGGCACCAAGCGTGCTGCATGGGTCATGTTGAAGTTTTTTTCAGACGCCGTTTTTGATCGATGGCTTTATGTGCCCTCCCAAGCACGGTGGTTGCACAGTTAAATTAGAAATTGTCATATTTCTGCTGTGCCGGGGATAAAACCTAGACTACCCGGTTTGGTAGGTCAGTAATATAGCCAATGAGCTACAACCGCCACGTTATTTTAGAGAACGGGCGGTAATAAATTAAAAGCTTATTTTTGTTGTTAGTAACTATGCAAATTTGAGATACAAAGCTAAATATTCAAGTGTTCAGAAACAAACATCGATAAAATCTTTTAATAAAATAACTTCCCCAAAATGTAATTTTTTAATTTGTTTTAAATATTGAATATACTCCATTCCACGAATATACGACTGTTTTAAATTCGCTTTAAGGTGTCGACTTAAATGGTCCAGTGTGCTGAATTGTACAATGGTAAATTCTCCCCATTTTTAAAATACTGTTATGACAGATATACACCTTAGATTTAAATATAAAGTTATGATCTAAATATAGAATTGAAGTTTATAGAATAGTTGTAATTCAGATTTTGAAGTATACTCGTATAATTACTCTCATTGCTTTAGTATTGTAAACAAGTTGGTTTTTGAATTAAGTGATTTAAAGGAAGTGTAACAATACTTAAGTGATTAAATAGTTTAATTTATTTAGTCGAATATTCAATAAGTATTAAAAAACAAAAAAACTTACTCCTACTCTTATTCTCCTAATCACCATTACAAACAAATATACTACAGTAAACTCTCTCTTAACGGACATGTCTCTTCACTGGACACCTCTATACGGACGGTTTTTAAAACTAAAATCAGTCGGCGATTTATGAAACTGTATGTAAAATTTCGTTACTTTTTAATATCTGTAATGACTCGGTACTTTAACTATTGTTACGAACATGCTTTCGGCATGACTCATATAACGGTTACATCTCGAAACGGCTTCCAGAATCATCCTTAGATCTCTCGAAGGCAAGAGAACAATGGGCCACGTGCGCGAATTAGAGGTGGGAACTTTCTAGAACATAGTAACTTAGGTATATATATGTAACGACCTTAGGAGTTAGTTCAGTTGATAAGAGAATACCGAACTGTAAAGTTATAAATAAATATATTTATATAAATTCGAACCGCTCGTTTTATTTGATCACGTTACAGTGGTGTCAGGTGTGGGGTTTGAAAATAAATGCAGCAGTGATTTTAAAAAAAAAAAGACTTTTGAACTTTTGAAAAGTATTGTTCGTCGGGAACATCCGCGTATTTCGGTAGTGATCTTTGTACGAAAGAACATTTAAAAAAAAAGTACGTGTGTGCTTGACCAAAGATGCTGCTAGTAGAACTTTCAGTGAAACAGTTGCGTGAGCAACTAGAAGAACGCGAGGAAGACTGCAGCGGGTCCAAGAAGATACTCCAAGAACGACTGAAGACTGTTCTCAACAAGAATGGAGACGACCCAGAGACATTCCAGTTCCAGTCAGCAGAAGAAGCCGTCTTAACTAAAATAATTGATGGAAAATTCGAGACTGTTTCCAAAAGATTCGATGAAACGTCTCAAATGATTGAAGAAACTTCTAACAAAATTGAAGAATCTTCTCGAAAGAATGATGAAAGATTCAATGAAACGTCTAAAATTATTAAAGAAATAGCTAGACAAAATGACGAGAAATTTGAAAATGTATCTAGAAGATTCGATGAGACTTCTCAAATAATTAAAGAAGTTTGTATTCAGAACAATGAAAAATTTGAAGAAGTCTCTAAAACATTCGATAAGGTAGAAGAGAAGATCAAACAGTTAGAGAGCATGATAACTAACACGAAAGTGCTACCACCAATGAATACGGTAGCTTTAGATCCGGTAGTAAAAGAAGAATCACCTAGAGACGAAATGGCACATCATATGAGATTCAAATTGCCACCATTTGATGGAAAGTCCTCTTGGTCCATATACCTTAGACAATTTGAAGCTATTGCGACAGCCAATCATTGGACAGAACAAGAAAAAGCTGTTTCCTTGACTGCTGCTTTACGAGGTGATGCTGCAGATATCCTAAGATCGATTCCTAAGGGTCAAGAAAAATGTTACCAGACCTTGTTCACTCGACTAGACAAACGTTACGGAGATGCCCATCTACAACAAGTCTACAAGGCGCAACTAAGAAGTAGAACTCAACGAGCAAGTGAGAATTTGCAAGAGTTTGAAGCAGATGTTGCCCGTATAGTGCGGTTGGCTTATCCGGAGGTACCAGACAACATTTTGGAAGAAATTGCCGTAGATACCTTCGTCAATGGGTTAAAAGAAAGTGAATTACAGAAAGCTTTACGACTAGCAAGACCGAAAGTTCTAGATGAAGCGCTCGCTATTGCCTTAGAACATGAAACAGCTAGTCAAACTTCACGGAGCCATCGAGTAAGAACCATTGAAGAAGGCGACGAACCAAACGATGAACGTCTAGAAGAAATGGTACGAAAAATAGTTCATAACACGATGCCGAAGAGACGCGAGCCCAGATGTTGGAATTGTGGTGACGTAGGTCACATTCGCCGTAATTGCAAGAAAATGATACAACAGTCGGAAAACTAGAACGGGTCGACACTAAGGGGCAACTGCCGACCTCGAGAAACACAGCCCCCATAGTAACTGTGAACATTACGTCCTCCGGTGGAATTCATAACTTGTACATCGAGGGTCGTATTAATAATAAATGTATATCGTTTCTGGTAGATACAGGTGCAACAAGAACTATTGCACGGCCAGAAGTAGTACGAGACCATCTTAAATTATCGCCTGCAACAGTAAAGCTTAGAACAGCAACTGGTGAGATAATTAATACATATGGCGAGGCTAATATGTCAGTATCCATTGGCCAGACCACAGTGAAACATAGAGTATTAATTGCAGAGATCTCCGATGAGTTCATATTGGGGATGGATTTGCTACGAAAAGTTGGGGCCGTATTGAATGTCAAAGATGGAGTTCTCGAGATCGGTGGTGAAGAGTTGCCGTTTCATGAAGACAAAGAAGATGTTATCAGCTTAATAACTACTTGTGACGTAAATACCCGGTAATAGTGAGAAAATTTTGATGGCCAGACCTGATAGTTACTGCCGAGAGGGAAGTTTAAGGATGGTCGAAGATGTGAACAATGCCGAGTTCCTAACGGCAAAAGCTTTGGTGAGAATTCGAGATGTCGTTCCTGTAAGAGTTATGAATTTAAAGGGAACTGCTATTAAGTTAAGTAAAAGAACTTTGATCGGACAGTGTGTTCCCGTGGCTTCGATTTGTTCCATGAAAACTAATGAGAAACCGTCGAAATCTAAGTATCCAAAGGAGCTTGTTGAGACGATGATTAAAACGTGCCAAGATCTTGATGATGAACGAACTAAAAAAGTAAAGTCTATGCTGATAGAATTTCAAGATGTTTTTGCCGTTGATAAGAAGGATAATGGCAAAACAAGCATAGTAAAGCACAAAATTAATACCGGAGACGCTCAGCCAATCAGACAACAACCTAGACGACTTCCATTTGCGAAAAGAGATGAAGCCGAAGACATCATCAAAGATATGAGCAAACAAGGGTAATTGAACCATCAAACAGTCCATGGACATCACCAGTAGTACTAGTAAAGAAGAAAGATGGTTCAACACGTTTTTGTATTGACTACCGACAGCTCAATGCGGTAACTAAAAAAGATAGTTATCCTTTGCCCAGAATAGACGATACTTTGGATACACTTTCTGGTTCTCGTTGGTTCTCCACACTCGATCTGAAAAGTGGATATTGGCAAGTAGACATGGAGCCAGCTGATCGTGAGAAAACCGCATTCTCGATAGGATCAGGGCTTTGGCAGTTCACAGTTATGCCCTTTGGTTTATGTAATGCCCCAGCCACATTTGAAAGATTAATGGAGGCAGTTTTAAGAGGTCTAACATGGAAAACATGCCTGGTTTATTTGGATGATGTAATTGTAGTAGGAAGATCCTTCGATGAACATGCCAATAATTTGACAGAAGTCTTTCAACGATTGCGGGCAGCAAATTTGAAGTTAAGTCCGAAGAAATGTCACTTGTTTCGACGAGAAGTAAAGTACTTGGGACATATTGTAGCAAGTAATGGTGTAACAGCTGATCCTGAAAAACTTGCAGCAATTAAGGATTGGCCGGTACCAAGAGACAAACACGAAATTAGAAGTTTTCTTGGCCTTTGTACATATTACCGACGTTTTGTCAAAGGATTTGCCAACATCTCCAAGCCATTAACAAAGTTGACAAAAGAAGGCAAAGAATATACATGGAGCGAAGAGTGCCAAAGAGCTTTCGAACACTTACAAATGGCTCTGATCAGCGCACCGATTTTAAGCTACCCTAGGCAGGCAGGAAAATTTGTGTTGGACACCGATGCAAGCAACAGTGCAATAGGAGCTGTTCTATCCCAAATCCAAGATGGGCAGGAGAAAGTCATCGCTTACTTTAGCAAAGTCTTGTCGAAACCAGAAAGAAACTATTGCGTTACCAGAAGAGAATTGCTAGGCGTAGTAAAGGCTTGCGAGCATTTTCATAAATACTTGTATGGCAGAAAGTTTCTTCTTCGCACGGATCATGCTGCTCTAAAATGGCTCCTACAATTCCGTAATCCAGAGGGCCAGATGGCAAGATGGTTAGAACGATTACAAGAATATGATTACGAGATCGAACACAGGGCTGGAAGAGTTCATTTAAATGCTGATGCGCTTTCGAGAAGGCCGTGCAGTGAACATTGTAATCACTGTCTTAAATTAGAAGAAAGACTTTGCCCCGTGAGACGAACCACCGTCATTAATGATCAATGGCAGCCTCAACAGCTACAAGACGCTCAAGCAGATGATCCATGTATAAAAAGAGTATTGGATTGGATGCGTCGAAGTGAAAGGCCCTCTTGGCAAGACATCAGTGCATGTAGTCCTGAAGTCAAGTGTTACTGGAGCCAATGGAATTGCCTAGTGTTAAAAGATGATCTTCTTTATAGAACCTTTGAGAACGATGATGGTACGGAATCTAAGCTTCAGTTGATTGTACCTAAAAGTAAAGTGTCAGAAGTATTGCGTCAGTTACATGACGGTGCATCAGGTGGACACTTTGGTATTACGAAGACTCTGCAAAAGGTTCGAGAACGGTTCTATTGGGTGAACTGTAAAGATGATGTTAGAAGATGGTGCCGGAAATGTGAACTGTGTGCAACCAGTAATGGTCCAGTTGGTAAAAAGAGGGCACCCATGAAACAGTACAATGTTGGTAGTCCTATGGAAAGAGTAGCAATCGACATTGCAGGTCCACTTCCAGAGACAAACGATGGAAATAAATATATCCTGGTAGCCATGGATTATTTTACAAAATGGACTGAGGCCTATGCGATACCAAATCAGGAAGCTGCTACCGTTGCAGAGGTACTTGTTAAAGAATTCTTTAGCCGATTTGGTGTTCCCTTGGAGATCCACTCCGACCAAGGGCGAAACTTCGAGTCGACCCTTTCCAAAACGTTTGTAAATTGATTGGTGTCAATAAGACCAGAACGACACCCCTGCATCCTCAATCAGATGGAATGGTCGAGAGAATGAACCGAACGATGGGTAAACACCTGTCAAAAGTTGTATCAGAACATCAAAGAGATTGGGACCAGCACATTCATTTATTCCTAATGGCCTACCGCTCGGCCGTGAATGAAACTACCGGCCAGACTCCAACCTGCCTGATGTTAGGTCGTGAAGTTCGTTTGCCCTGCGACCTAGAGTTTGGCTCCAGACCTTCCGAAGAACATGTTGCAAGCGAAGATTATGTCGACCGCCTGAAGTTAAGAATGAACAACATTCATGAACTTGCCCGACAACACATCCAGTTAGCCAGTGACAGAATGAAAGATCAATATGATTCTCGATGCAAAAATGAAAGCTATAAAGTAGGTGATCTTGTTTGGCTTTATAATCCACAACGTCGTCGTGGCTTGTCTCCTAAACTGCAAAGACAATGGGAGGGTCCGTATGAAATTAAAAAGAGAATAAATGACGTAATATACCGAATTAAAAAGTTACCGAAAGGTAAACCAAAAGTAGTTCACATAAATCGGCTTGCACCTTATGCTGGCTCAAATGAAACAGAAGAAGCACGAATCCTTCAACATGAGATCGAAGAAGACCGGCGACCAAGCTTTAATGAATTTATGTCAAATTACGCAGAGAGAAAGAGTGCTAGATTCGGCGTGACGACAGAAGTTCAGCAGGATCTTTTTAGTGTTCCGCATAACGTCACTCTAGCCCACTGTGTTGCCCAAGATCTTGAGATGACTAAAGGAATTTCATCCGTATTTCATAAGAAATTTGGTCGCTTGGACGAGTTAAAAAACCAGCAGCCTAAAGTTGGAAGAGTGCTGAGATTAGAAGATGGTTCTCGATCTTTGTTGTATATGGTGACCAGAAAGTCGTATACAGACAGGGCAAGCTACGAGGATATATGGCGTGCTCTGACTAATTTGAAGAAAATCGTCTGCAATTACGACATTAAGAACTTGGCTTTACCCAAGATAGGCCATGCACTAGATAATCTGGATTGGAAGATTGTCAGAAGCATGCTTGAAGTGATCTTCCGAGAAACCGGTGTAAGAATTACTGTGTGTTGCATTAATCCGAAGAGATCGTGTCCTTCAAAGACAGTAGACTGTTATTTCTTTCTGAGGGGTTCATGCAGAGCTGGAGAGTCCTGTAGATTCCGCCATCCTGGGCCTACATATAGAGTTGCTGATCGGGACGCTCAGATCTAAGAGGGGAGCAGTGTTACGAACATGCTTTCGGCATGACTCATATAACGGTTACATCTCGAAACGGCTTCCAGAATCATCCTTAGATCTCTCGAAGGCAAGAGAACAATGGGCCACGTGCGCGAATTAGAGGTGGGAACTTTCTAGAACATAGTAACTTAGGTATATATATGTAACGACCTTAGGAGTTAGTTCAGTTGATAAGAGAATACCGAACTGTAAAGTTATAAATAAATATATTTATATAAATTCGAACCGCTCGTTTTATTTGATCACGTTACACTATCAATAGCCGCCATGTTATACCCGTTACTTCGGAACTTTTAAGAGTATATCCACTCAAAGCAAACAAAAAACTAACAAAGTGGAATACTAGATTCTTTTTCTGGTTTCTGAACCATCGTTCTGTCAATTTCTTTTATTTATATTAAAAATATTATATTATTTATATTAAAATATTATATTTCTTTTTATTACCGTTGTAGTACCTAATAAAGTAATAAAGATACCCGGCGCGCCTCTTTGATGTTTACATTTCACCGAAATCCAACCCAAATGGCTGATGAACACATTTTAACTTCATAGAGGTCATTGTATTTATTTGTAGGAGCGTTTACGTAAATTTTTTTGTTATTTTAGGATTAATTTTCACAATAAATTTTGCGTCTATCTGAACATCTACTAACTGAAATAATTTTAGTTTATATGTCATAGTAACAAAAGATCCTTTTTTATGGAATAATAATTAGACCAATTTACTTTCATACTTCTACTTGTACAGTAAAATATTCGTTGTAGCAATAATTTTAAACAGTCGTATATTCGTGGAATAACCTATATATGTTAAGTTACATATTTTTTACGTGGCTTTGTAAAGACTGTCAAATTAGGGTTAACCCAAAAATTTAGAAGAAGAAATATAAAAAGTAATTTTAATATTTAATGTATTTTTCTTTTATCCACTTTTCCATCTACCATTTGTTTTATTTTAGGCTCTGATCCACTCAACCTAGACTATTACTCTCCCCTCGATTTCTACATCGGAGCAATAATCTCAGTTTTTAACCAACGATTCAAGATTGTAGGAGCAGATCTCTACGTTTACAGATATATGCAAGCAAACGCTAACAAATTTCCTTGCGAAGTTATCGAGAATCTAAGAAACTATATGTTCAATAAAGGATACCTAAAAGAAGACGTGGATGATCAATTAAAAGAGGACAACGAGTCCAAGCGACTCGAATGGGATATCGATACAAGTAAATATTTATTTTTTATTTATTTGTCAACGGATATTAACAATAAACATTTTATACAGAGTGTTTCAAAAAAGGTAACACCGTCTCTAGGATAGGTAAAAAACTTTAAATGTCTCACACCAGCACTCAGCTGGAGAAACGATGCGCTAATTAGGGATTTTTTTAAGTAGGGGAGTAGTGGGATAGTTGATCCCGGTGGGATACTTGTTCCCCATTTAAATTTGGCGCCCAATGATATCCTATTACTGTTCTGTTGACCCACTTTGGTAGAGGCCATACTGTTTCTTTGTTTTGACAAATGGCTGCTACTCATCGAGTTAGAATCTATGGAGAAGCTATAAGCATATTAACGTATGTATTAAAAACGGTGTAGGTAGGCGTGGCTAACGATAATACCAATATGGCGGAGGGATCAGGGCCAGACTCAATAATATTAAAACTACTATACAAATATGACCAGTTATTCAGAAGTTTTAATCATAATCTAAAAAAGTGCAATAAATTTTAATAAACTATGATTTATTTATCCCGCGGTAAACACTAAAAACACGATATATTATATATAAAGATAAATTAATACAGTGAAATACTATTAAGTTATTCTCTGAAGTATGGGCCATTGGTTTGTTTACATATTTGTATACTAACTTGTGGAACGATATTCTTAAAAATTTTTATTAACATTGCTTCTGCTACTGCAAATACGTTGAGAACAAGAAACCATTATTGTCAAGTGTGTACCAACGCAATTCTACCCGAATTTGCGTATAAAATACACGGTTCGTATATTACAAAATTAAACTTCAAAATTATTGAAAATCTATATTTGCCAGTTCCCAACAAAACATATCGCGTGCTTTTAAAAAATGATGTAACAAAAATTATCACTTATAAGCATCAATCTATACATACACAAAATTAAAAAATACTACGCCACGGATACCGACCGTTCAGCGCTCAGATTCTTAGTCAACTGTAAGAACCTCATCAATTTTTATTACACCACTTACGCGTTAAAATAAAGAAAATAAATTGAAGTGATGGCGATAAAATATAAAAATTATTGCCGACAAGTGGAAAGATTGTTATGATTTAAAAAGGTTTTATAGCTAAAGCTTTCTTTGAATTTTAATAAGAGATTTTGTAACTTCAGCATTCTAAAGCGGTATACAAACAAAATAATTATCAAATGGCTGTGACATCCTCCCACCTGAGGCATTTTACAAAAGTAAACATGGCTCACAATATTAATATTGGCACAAAAGTAAACAAAACTACAGCAAATAACATAAAACCATAACAGACAAAATTCGAAATATAATTAAGCAAAAACTAAATCTACTCGTTAGCGTATCGCACAGGAGTTTTGACGCTGCGCCCACTTCGCGTAACAATTTTTTTCGTTTCGGGTACTCTGCTTTCAGACACTCCCGTTTCCGCGTCGTTTTCGGAGGCACTCACTTCCGCGCCTTCACATAAACTTAAACGAGATCCTCTGTCTTCGGTCTCTTCCGTGTTGTCCGTTCGGTCATTGCCTAGCGTCTGAGAAAAATCTGCTGGGCACTCCATGGGGTAGATACGCTCATTAATACTGTTCTCAGCTATTTTTTGAAAGTCTACTCGAGAAAACGCGTTCTCAGTTCCGACAAAGTTAGTTCCATTATCACTGTATATAGTCTTCGGACGACCACGTCTGGCAATAAAACGTCTTAGAACCTGCATGAAGCAGGCGACTGACAACGAGGTGCAAAGTTCGACATGTACAGCACGATATACGGCACACGTAAAAAGACATATCCATGCTTTTCCTCCGGTGGCTAGGTAAAGCGGTCCCGCAAAATCTACGCCCGTCGTTTCGAATGCTACCGCGTCCCGGACGCGATCTACTGGTAACGGCGGAGCACTTGCCCCGAATGGCTTCGCATTATGCCTTTTGCAGACGACACACTTAATGATGGCTGATTTTATCGCCCGTCGACCACCTAAAATCCAATATCGTTCGCGCACGATACTCGTGAGTCCTTGAGTTCCAATATGACACGACTTAACATGTTCCCGGAATAACAACCTATTCACTAAAAAATGTTTTGCCGGTAAAACTATAGGAAACCGAAAATACTCTAGGTCATTTCTATTACTAATACGCGACTGTAAGCGAATTAGTCCATGCTCATCCTTAAAAGCGTTCATTCCCGATAATCTATTGTCTTTATTCAGAAATAGAGTGTCGTCACTCTTATTCCACTTTATTCCCAACACCTGAGTTGAAGCTGCAAGGTTTTCATCCTGTATTTGGCCAGTATACTCCCACCCTCTGAGGTCAAACTTGCCTTCACTCATTATTATGTTTGACTCTTCTATAAAAGTTCTCAGTTCCTGCTCATTTCTTACACTGGTAACACAATTATCAACGTAAAAACTATTGTTTCGTCTGATTTTTGTAGATAAGCTATTTGGCTTAATTATCGGTCTATGGGGTAAATAATGACATTCTTGGCTAGGCTGCTCCTCGGATATTTCTTCAATTATACCTTCGTCCAACCAATCCTTAAATATTTGGTCGTAGGCTTCAAGATATCCGTCTTTCGTTATTTTCTTAAATGTGCTCTCGAGTCTCCTTTTTGCAATTTGGTAGTTGCTCGGCAATGCCGGATGTCCTTCCAGCCATGGGAGTCTCACTTCATATCGTCCACTAGAATCCGATGACACTGTTTCAAAGAAAAGTTTCCTGGCTGCTAGCGCAGTTTCTTCACTTGACTTCCTTTCAGTTGGATCACCAATGCCCAAAACGTCTAGCTCCCAAAGATTACTAACTGAAGCATTTTTAACAAAAAGTGATACAACCGATGTGGTATTATTGTCCCGTTGACCTAAAGGTATCTTGCCCATTAAAGTCCAACCTAATAATGTTTCTACAGCTACCAATCCACTTTCCAATATGTGCCTCCTCCCAGTATAGAGTTTTCCAGCAATATCAGCACCTATTAAAATCTCTATAGGAGACGCATCACCCAAGTCCGATAGTTTTATATTAAACATACCAAGTTCTTCTATCCAGGGACCATTAAATATGGAAGAGACGTCGCTACATATAACGTTTTGATCTAGTGCCTCAAATGTATAACTATAATTGTTATGAAACACTCTAACATCATAGCAATCATGTTTTTGCGCTAATTGGTTTCCTCCAAACAATCCATGTACTAGATTAATCTGTCGTTTACTAGGATAACCCAAAAGTTTAGCTGTAGATTTCAAAATGTACGTTTTTTGCGATCCGGTATCTATAAGAGCACGTACAACTCGCGACTTGTCTAAATAGTTTATTTCAATACGCAGAGTTTGCAAAAAAACATTCGTATTAGCACTATTAGCGAGCGTCTGTTCAATTCTTGGCACGGCAATGCCATCGTTTTCTTTCTGCTCTTCTGTATCCTGCTTTACCCGGTGTCTTGAAAGTTCAGTGCACATTAAAGGTACATGCGATTTAGAGCAAATTAAACAACTTAATTGACTGCGACATTTTCGAGACTGATGTCCAATTTTCAAACAACGAAAACACGCGCCTTTTTCTGTCAAAATATTTTTCCTTTGGTCATAAGTTAATTTCTGTGCTTTAAAACAGTGGCTGCTTTCATGCGAATTCTGACAAAAAACACATTTATAGATGGTGTGAGAATTAACTAAACCCATCGCGGAAGGAGACTTGTGCTTGTTTTCCTCGTGTCTCCTTGTTTTTGGGCCTGTAGATTTAAAATCTTCGGTTTTAGCAGCATGCAAATGGAAATTCTCGACTGCTAAAGAAAGGTGCTGCTCATTGTCAACTTCCTTTTTCAAGAACAACATTAAACTCTGAAGTCGATTTTCGATGCTCGCGATGCCGGCAGAATTAAGTGACGCTTGTGATCCGATACTTTCTGGCAATCGTTGCCAAACTCTTAATAAATCTGAAGGTAGACAGGATTCAACTAAAGGAAATAACATAGCCGCGTATTTATCCGACTTAATACCGAGTGTTTCCAGAACCCTCAACTGAGTCTCTAATTTGTCGTATAACAAGGATAGATCTAATTTATTGCCAGACGCAGTATTATTTATTACTAATTTAAGTAATTCCCGTACATAAACTTCGATCTGCAAGTCATCCCGACCGAAACGCGAAATAAGACAGTCAATCATAGCATCATAATTACTTCCAGTGGCGGGAAAACTATCCACTAGTTGCCTAGCTCTACTACCCGGTATAGTAGCTTGAATCAAATATTCGACCTTGTCGTTCGGATCTATGTCAGGATCATGATGAACTTTTTGAAATTGTGACCAAAAAGGCAACCAGTTTTTAATATTCCCGTCGAATTTTTTGAACTCTAATGTAGGTAATTTAAATTTTCGCTTACCGCGTCTGCTGTCTAAACTACTCCTATCATCAGATATCCTAGAAGCTACCTCACCTTCCACTGCACCTGTCACTATTGACTGCATACGGTCTTCGAACTGCATACTGAGATCCAAAAACTTCTTGCTATAGTTGTCACTACACTCAATTTCTGCTAAAAGGTCTTCTTCACTAGCGTCTTCACTTAGTAATAGACCGTAGATTTCTTCATCACTTTTCCTTAGGTCTTCAATTTTTTGGCGTAATAGATCCAAGGAAACTTTAATTGATCGTATCTCACCCTCCGGCGCCGACAAAAGCTTATCCATTTCATTCGCCGTCCTCGTGAAGGTGCTACGGAGCACTTTGCGATGTTTCTTCTTTTGATCCATTTTTCTCTGCAAACTTGGTCAAAACCACACACGTTTACCGAAAGTTACAGGCGAAACGCGATAAAGTTTGTCCGGTGATCGTCAATTCAATTTTGTTACACCTCGTATACAACCACGATTAATTTTATGGAAACAGTCCTGTCACGGTCGCCAAATATGTCAAGTGTGTACCAACGCAATTCTACCCGAATTTGCGTATAAAATACACGGTTCGTATATTACAAAATTAAACT